CAAATCCAACAAAAGGTTTATAAAAAATAAAAGCATAAATTGCAATTGTCATATATGTTTAGATTCAGCAAAGTTGATAGAAAAAAAAAAAAGCATAAACTGTTGCCATACATGTCCAACAATAAGTTCATTAAGAAAAAGCACATAAAAGAGTCTAGGAAGTGGCATATGCGTACATATCCATCTAATCCAGTAAAGCAAACTCTACAGCAGCAACTTAAGCTAAGCTTGATCAATAATTTCAAGTTAAAGAAATAACTTCTTGAAACAAAAACAAATACCCCAAATTAACAAAAAAATTTTAAAATTTTTTTATATAATAATTTATATAAAGAAACATTATTGTTTAAAATTTACCTCAGACTCATCATCCTCATTATCATTCTCCTCCAACTCGTCAAATAGATTGAAGAAATTCCCCATTATTGTCAGAACCTGAATTTCAAACATAATAAAAGTTTAGAATACAAATTAAAAAATAAGAAAATAAGATAAATATAGCCTTAATTTAATACCTTTCAGATCTTTCTTCAGCCAATCTTGAAGACACATCAGTACCTATATCATATTTGGTCTAAGCTTGCTCCCATTGTGACTAAAGCACAAAAATTAAATTAGAAATTACTAGTTAGAAACACTAAAGCACTAAAGCACAAAAACTGTAGCTTCAAAAACTGGATCTAATTAAGACCTAGAGTTGGAGAGTTTGAAAAGAATCCAAGGCAAAGGTGTAGAAGAGGAGGCCACGCGACAGCAGAAAAAGGATGACCCAACCTTGGAGCTGGAGGTGAGCGATGAACATTGCAGACTTGTAGTGGTTGTAGTGACGACACGGTGAGAGGCTGAGAGCTTGAAAGGAATCATCAAATCACAGTTGAGGTGGCCACACGAAAACAGAAAGAGGATGAGCAAGCCTTGGAGCTGGAGGTGAGCGGTGAGCGTTGCAGGGGTTGTAGTGATGGCATCGTGAAAGGCCGAAAGCTTGAAGGGAATCACCAAAATCACAGTTGAGATGGCCACACGATAGCAGAAAGAGGACGACCCAGCCTTGGAGCTGGAGGTGAGCAGTGAGCAGTGGTGAGCGGTGAGTAGTGAGTGGTAGTGAGCAGTGAGCAGTGAGCAGTGAGCGATGATGAGCGATGAGCAGTGAGCAGTGAGCAGTGAGCAGTGGTGAGCGGTGGTGAACGGTGAGCGTTGCAGTGGTTGTAGTGACAGCACAATAAGAGGTGAGAGCTTGAAAGGAATCACCAATTCACCGATTCACCGATTCATAGTTGAGATGAGGACAGAGAGGATTGAGCAAGAGTTACAGCACAGAGTGTGCGCGATAGAGGAGAGGAGACTGACTAGAGAGAGGAATTGCAATTTGCAAGTGGCAAGCAAAGAGACTGAAATCTTTGGATAATTGGATTGTCCTTTTGCTTCTAGGGTTATGTAAATTGGGCTGTAAATTGGGCTGGGCAATTAGGTTTAGGAATATTATATTGGCAAAAAAAAAAGGGTTGGGCTGACAATTGGGTTTGGAAAAATTGAAAAAAAAAATGGGTTGTGAAATTTAAGTTCTGTTGGTATTGGGTTAGTTAATTAGATTGGGTAAGTAAAAATTAATTGCTAACATATCTACAAAAAAATATATATATAAAATAAATTTATATATATTTTTTATTTTATATGGATCCCTACGGTTCCTCACGGAGTGGAAGAAATTCCTTGTGAAATTTCACGGGGAAAAAATTGCCTCCATTCTCGCCCCACAGGAAGGAATATTCTTGGAATCTCCATCCTCGTGGCGAGGATCTCTGTGAAACTCTGCGGGTCACGGAGAAAATTGCCATCCCTAAACCCAACAACTTCAAAAAAAGAAAAAAGAGACTATAATGGCAGCCCGACGCAAGCAATTGATTTTAAGGAAAAGATAGAAATTGTTTTCAAATATTTCATTTGAAGATAAAACAAAAAATCTATTATTCTAGTATGAAATGAGTAATATTTAAGTAATGAAACTTATTGATTTTTTATTATCACAAAAAAATTGTATAATTTCCTTTAGGATTTAAAGTTGTTGAGATTACAAATAAAATTGAATATTATGATAATATTGAAGTTATATTGAAGTTATATGGAATAGAATTGGATCTGAGTAAAAAAAAAAAAGTGAAAAGAAAGTATAAATCCATAAAAGGAACATATATGAACTCAATAAAAGGAAAAACCTTGGATATAATCATATAGAGAAAAGCAATAGGAAGATAAACTAGTATAAAAGGAAGATAAACTAGTATAAAGTGTAATTAACTTATAAAAAAGCAAAAAAAATTATTTGATTGTAGAAAGTGGTAGGGTGAAGAAATAGGAAGTTGTTATATTTTATATTTACCAACCTCACCTGTGAAGGTGTGGAGGTGCAAAATCTCTTTCACTAGAGAATCAAAAATAATTGATAACTCAGATAATTAAGTGCTCCACTACTAATTCTGATATACTATTTTAGGAATCTTGATAACTAATTAAGTGTTTAAAGGTTTTATGTTGTAAATTGCTACCTCCATACAAGTTTCAAATTTTAGATCTTTGTTTCAAATTTTAGATTGAGATGAACAAGAAAGTGGCTAGTGGATTAGAATTGTAACAACAGAAAGAGTATTTTTTGTCATAAAAATTGTGAAAACGAAACTTTGTAGCAAAATGGAGGATGAATTCATTTCAAACTCTTTAATTATTTATATTGAAATTGGAATAGTTCAGTAATTTAGAGTAAATTCTATTATAAATAGATTTTATGACATGAAAACTTGTCGATTATTATTTTAATTTATGATATAAAAATAAATTTTTCAAAATTACAATTCATTATTTTAAAACTTGAAAAGTCAACCCCCTTAACCAAAATTCTTGGCTCTACCACTGTTTTTTTCTACTTTCTTTTCTTTTCTTTTCTTTTCTTTTCTTTTCATTTAAATTCATCTTTATCCCTTTCGTAATTAAAATTTGGAGATTTGAAGATACAAACTTAAAAAATCAAGTTCTTTATTGTAGAGTATTGACATTTTCTTTTGGGTCTATTTGGGGAGGGTGGGGGGTGAAAACTTTGAATGCAACATTAAATGGACAAATACTTTGGTTTTTCATGGGCTTGCCCTATAGCTCTTTTACTTCTTGCTATGGTCCCGAAAAGCCCAAAAGTCCATTGGGTGTAACGGTGACTCGCAGACTCGGTGAGAATCATCATGATATCAATATGAACCCTAATAACGGGCCTGTATTTCATTCCTTGGCCCGTTGGGCTTTACTGAAATTTTGCCCATTTTTAAAACCATAATAATGACGTCAGCCTTGAGAAAGATTTTCGATGACGCAAGGTACAAAAAAAATGCTAACATCATCAGAACACGTGAGCATCACGTGATCTCCCCCCTACAATTTCCTTTCGGATAAATACACCTCCCATCAACGGCGATAACCTAATTTTCAATTCCGCTAACTCTCTGCTCCATCCCCGCCTTTTCTTCTCCTCCTTCCTTACAAACCCTAGATTTCTCTCCTTGTTTCCTTCGTTTCAGTTAAGAGTTTTCCTTCTTTTTCTTCCACTTTCTTTCACTTTCTATTCTGTTGTTCGTGTTCTTCTCTGGATCTCGGTTTTCGTGTAATGGACTTTGGTGGTGGACGCAAGAGAGTGAGGCTGGACGCTTCCTTAAACGGCAATGGCGGCCTGAAGAAATCAAAGCAAGGTTTGAATTTTACGATTCTTGGCCGTTTTGTTTGTGCTTGTTGGTGTTTGCGTATGCTAGCTTCTCTAGATTTGTAAATATAGAGTGGTTCTAGGGTTTCTAGGAACTATATTTTAAGTTTCGTTTTGCTGAATTGTTGAATTCTCTGTACTTTTAGCTTGATTGAAGTGATGAGAAAGTTAGCTAGTTAAAAAATTCGGGAACTTGATGGGAGAAAGTGTTTCGGTTTTAGTGGATTTCAGTTGCTTTACATGGGTTGAATTTTGAATTTTGGAAAGTTACTCTTACGTTTGAAATTCTTCAAAGAGTTTGGATTTGCAATGTGAGATATCTCTCTGGTTTCTCACCAGAAAAATTGAATGTTTAAATTGTTGGTGAGCTGAGCAACTTTTCCCTTTAAAAAAAATATATATAATAAAAGAAAAAGTATGTAGCCCATTTTTTATTTTGCTTTAGTGATGAGAAAGGGTAATATGATATTGAATGTTTTTTAAAGTCCAAAAGGCAAAAAAATCACTGAAATTTATAACTGAGATAAATTAATTAATGTTCTGCAACAGAAATGGAGTCCTTTTCAACTGGTATAGGAAGCAAATCGAAGCCATGCACAAAGTTTTTCAGGTTCAAATCTTAACCTATCTAAAATAAATAGTCTAAATGCAGTTTATCTATTGCTAATATTTACAATTTGCAACTAAAATTTTGTTACCAATAAATCCTCTGAAACAAGATTTATGTGATTTTGACTAATGAATTGAGTACTTAAAGTGGTGATACAGGTAATGAATTGAGCATTTCTGCTCTAACATGATAAAAAAAAAAAACGATTATGGAGGGGAAATTGTTGACTTCATGGTGATCAGTCAGATAACTACATGCTGGACTATATGTAAACAGAAAGCAACTATGCAGGATGCTAATTTTGTCCTTCATATAGTGCTTGTTGCCTATAATTTCATACCTGTTGAAGTAAATAAAATAAGACACGGACTGTTCAACTGGCGTCAAAAGTTGTGGTAGATGTTGTGCTCTCTATGTTGTCAACAATGACAATAGAATTCTTATTACTGCTGGAATATATATTTGTCTTTTATCGGGTAATCTAGTATTGTAGAGTACCATGATTCCAGTGTGTTTTTGTTTGAAGGGTCTTGGTTTTCAATTAAAGTTCAGAGTTCTATAAAATTAAGACTGGAAATCCTGGATTTAGTTCTGTAAAGAATTAAAGTTCCATATTTCAGTTGATTTATTATGGATATTGGTCTTATGCCCTTGTTCGTTGTTTATTTTGCAGCACTTCTGGGTGCCCTTTTGGTGAAGGCTGTCACTTCCTTCACTATGTGCCTGGGGGCTTCAAAGCTGCATCTCAGATGCTTGGCACCAATCCAGCTCTTCCCCCTGTTGCCAGAAATTCTGCAGTTCCACCATCCTTTCCTGATGGCTCATCACCTCCAGCATTAAAAACCCGATTATGCAATAAATACAACACACCAGAAGGTTGCAAGTTTGGAGATAAATGCCACTTTGCCCATGGTGAGTGGGAACTGGGTAAGCTGACTGCTCCTGCTTATGATGATCCTCGTGGCTTGGGACCTATGCCAGGCAGGATGGGTGGCAGAATGGAGGCCCCCTCACAAGGTCCAGCTGCCAGCTTTGGCAAATCTGCCACTGCCAAGATCAGCATTGATGCATCACTGGCTGGAGCTATTATTGGGAAGAACGGTGTGAACTCAAAGCACATCTGTCGTGTTACAGGAGCTAAGCTTTCCATAAGAGATCATGAATCAGATCCTAACTTGAGGAACATCGAACTTGAGGGAACATTTGATCAGATCAAGCAAGCCAGTGCCATGGTTCATGAGCTTATTGTTAACGTTGGTCCACCCACAGGACATTCCATGAGGAATCCTGCTACTGGTGGCTCTGCAGCTAACAACTATAAGACTAAGATCTGTGAGAATTTTGCCAAAGGATCCTGTACCTTTGGGGATAGGTGCCACTTTGCACATGGTGCAGAAGAATTGCGCAAGGCAGTCATATGATTTTGTCTTCTTTTTCTTGTTCGCTCTGTTAGGACTTACAATTATTATTCTAGCCTTTGGTTATTTTGAGTTGTCCTATTAAGGTCTCTTGGTTTCTTCTATTGATGTTATGGTGATTTTGATGATTTGATCTATATAACCGAAATTGATGGATGGAGCTTTGCCACATTGATGAACATAGAACGTGGACCAGGTACATTGTTATGGATTGATCTGCAGCATCTCACCATTTATCTTGGAGTTTAATACCATCATCCTGAGTGAGAGACGGGTGAGGGGTTTGGTTTGTTTGAGATTGTTGTATAGTGTTGTTATTAGTCTTGTTGTGGTCTGGCCGAAGACTAATTTTTTGTTTGGTAATTATTTTTCAAAAGTGCTTTATGTAACTCTACAATCATTAAAAGGAATTTATGCTTTATAGGTTAAATTGTATATTAAAAGTATAGGTGAATTATTAAAAATTTTAAATTACTAATAAGGAAATAATATAAAAAATAATTTTATTAAGAGTATTTAAGTATATTTATAGATTAGATTATATTTTTAATATACAATTTGATTTGTAAAATATTTATTTATTAAAATAAATAAAAGATTAATTATAATTAATTTACTTTTTTTGAAGGGATAATTATAATTAATTTAAGAGATTTTTTTAATATTCAATTTAAGAGTTTTAATTGCAATAAATCCAATCAATTAACGTATAAAAAAAGGCACCAAAAAACAAATTTTGGGCAAATTCGGTTTAAACCAGTTGTAATTCAACTTAGCCCAAAATTATGGGTGAATGGATCGTCTGTTGGGCCCAATGATAGTGGAGCATGCTTCCCATCATTGGAGAATCGAGATTGACTTTTGGGCTTACGGTAAGCAATTGTTTGGCATGGCCTTTTCCATTTTTATTTTTTATTTTGATTTTCATAAAAGCATAAATAATCTTTTTTATTTTTAGTACTAAAAAAATTTTTTTGGTACATACCAAAAAAAATTATTTTTGATTTATAATAAAGAGCATGCTAAAATGCAATTCACATCACAAAATATAAGTTATTAGATCCATTGAATGAAGGATTTGCCTCTGACCTCAGGAAAATCCTACTTATTTAATGATTTCCTTTTACAATTCAAACTATAAGATTTTCTTTTTATTAAACCAGTATTTTGACATGATGATAAATTGCTAGATTAATCAGAATATAAACATATCAGAGACCCTGAATTATTCAAGAACATGTATAATATTTATAAATGCAGATCAGAAGCTCCATATATATAATTATAGAAGAAAAATATATGTTCTTCTTAACAAAACCAGAAATATAAAATGCAACCGAGAATATACATACATACTCTCCGAGATCCAACTAGCTTTTGAAGAATGAAAATTTAAATATGGGAGATATGTATCTCCTTCTACTATCCTTTATTTCTTTTATATATGGTGTTCTGGAGACCCATCTGCACCCGAATTCAATTGCCAGCAGCCTCTTTCCGTTGTTCCTTTCGATACTTGATACCACACGCATTACATAAAGTCTGCAAATCAATATCAAGAAAGAAAATATTAGATAAAACTGTTTTTTGAAGCTAAATGTATATTATAATTCCTTATTAAATTAAAAAAAATTAAGTGTTTATTATTAGAAAAAAGAAATTAAAGAAAAACCTAACTTTTGCATGCATGGTAAAACCCTAACATTAATATTATATAAAA